ATATATACACACACACACATATATATATATACACACACACATATATATATATATATATACACACACATATACATATATATACATATATATATATATATATATATATGTAATATTTCCTTTAACTTTTGTTGGTTTGTCACAGAAAGTCATAAGAAAGTACTACGCAACTGATTCAAAAGTTTATTGTTATAAAAGCATTTTCAAGGCACATTTTGAGTGTTATTTACTATTGAATTAAAATCTTTGCCCATATTAAACCCCTTTTGTTCCATTTGGCCTGTTTTCTATTTTAATGCTCTATTTCAGTCTATCAGACTGTTTCTCAGGCATTCTTTGACTGAGCCTTCTATCGTGGTTTATGAGCGAGCCACAATTATTCACTCAGTGTATTATATCGCACTCATTACCTCTGGGTGTAACTATATGTCATCTGTTGCCAGCTCATGCTTCAATTTCCCTTTGAGTGGTGGGGAAGCTGCATCCAGCTGTCTCACTGGGTTCACAACAACGTGACTGAGGTAGGGAAGCTTCCATCCTTCCTTCTCAGTTGTATTTTACATGGTGAACAGGTACTCGCTCCACAGCTGTTTAAATCATGACACTGATTTTGAATTCAACAAGCTAGAAGTTGTAGCATTTGGCAGGCTTTACAAGGAGCTTCTCAGGGGAGTGTTAGTAGCTTTCATCTGCACATGACTGACTCGTGTTTATATCTGATGAGATTGAAGGCTTTTACATGTTTCTGATCAGCTGAGAGGTAACTGATGATAGTAAAGCAGGTACAGCACACACATACACTTAATAAAAAACTCATCCAGCATCTTGTCTTTTCATCATCATTTCATTTGTTCATTTTGAACCTTTGATCCACATCAATTTGCAAAGAAATTAAAAATAAACAAAAAAAAAAACTGTTTCAACTAGTTTTAATTGAATAAAACTGCTTACAGAACTCTGCTGAACTCATTTCCTCCTGACTTTGTAGCTCACTCATAAGCAATCACCGTGCAATTTATTCAGACATGGATTTTTATATAAACCAGGGATGCACAATATTGGATTTTTGGACGATATCTGATAGGCCAATATGTTAAAACTTATTTGGCCAAAATCCGATACCAATACCGATATTCTTCCCCTAGATCTACTTACAGAGACTACATGGCTTTCTCTGCTGTGGAATTAAAATACAATATATTATTCTGCATGTTCTATGTCAGTTTGGCCTGCTACTAAATGCAGATGCCAAAAAGGAGGTTGAAGATGATGTAACACTTCAACTTGGGATTATGTTTAATGTCAAATTTATTCATGACATTTTCTCTCTGACACAATGACAACACTTTAACAGTGTAAATTTGTAAAATTTCACAAATCTAAACTCAACCTATTCACAAGCGACAAGTGAAAAGTGCACAAGTGGTAGTGCATTAATAGATATACTTGACTGTGTCTTAAATTGAATATTAACTTAAAACAGAAGCCTTTTATATCGGTGAATTATTTTGATGGAATGGCCGATGTATGATATTTAACTTTATAGCTAATATCGGCCGATACTGATACTATGCCGATAATATTGTGCATCCTTAATAGAAACCATTTCAATCTGAAATAAAGCAAAGCTTGTCAGTCAGTGGAAGACTCGTTCTTACCTGCTTTTGTCTTTCAGCATCATGTTTTTGTCAGGATGTTTTTGTTAGTATTCCAATTTCTAAAGTCTTATGTAGATTCTTGTAGTATTTTCTAGTGTATTTTTCTCCCTGTGTTTTCTCATGCCTCTCAATTCCACTCCTGCCCTGTACACTCACCTGTTCCCAGTTGTCTCTTCCCCAGGTGTTTGTAATGTATAATAGTTAATTTCTATTTATTCTGTTTGTTCCTTAGGTTTGCACTGTGCTGTTTACAGGCAGATATGGTTTTCTCCCTCATGTGCATCCTTGAGTTTCTTTCCAGTGTTAGTCTTGCTGCCTCAACAGTTGTTTGTTTTTCTTCTCTATCTTTGAGCACATCATCAAGTTCTGTCAGCAACCTTGGGCTCGAAATTATGAGTTCTAGCCTGTGTCTGTGTATGCAAATGTGTGCTTTTGTCTGTTAGCACAAAATCTCATCAACTGCTGGAGGATTTTTAATTAAACACCCAGAAAAATAAATCACTGACTGTTGATCAACAACTAATTAACTTTAGAAGTCAAACCAATTCAAGATGGCGGTCACATCTGATGAAACTTAGCCAACACCAAAATGACAACTTAGTCAGTTGACAAAGATTGAAGTAAAATTTGTTGTGGTATTTTAATAAAACTTTTAGAAAATAATCTTGGGGTGTGAAGCAGCTGATGAGCTTTTGATGCTAGCCCTATTCAAGATGGCCCCCAGGGCTAACTGGCCTAAAAAACACAAATACATCAGTAAATTTCACAAACATTGCACAAAATCTTTGCCTAAACGTTAGGCAAAAAATTCTGGAGTCAACCCTGTTTGTCTGTTAGCCAAATATCTCATGAACCACTGGAAGAACTTTGATGAAACGTTAAGTGTGTAATCATCAATTGTTTTATACACTACTTTTATTTTAACTGCATTTTTACTGTAGTTTATTGTAATTGTTTACTGCTATTGTTGTCTGTATTTTATATGTTCTGTCTGGAACAGGTCTCTCTTGTAAATGAGTCCTCGTGGCTCAATGAGACTAGCCTGTATAAATAAAGGTTGAATGAATGAAATGTGCATCTATACAGGCTAAATACTTGGGCTAAATCAAATCCAAAACGGCAGCCACAGCTGATCAACCTTAGCCAACATAAAATTAAATAAAACAACCAGTTCTTCAGATATTAAGATAAAATTTGTGTGGTAGCAGCTGAGTCATGCACAACACGTACTCCGAGGCCTTTAACTACAAAATGTTTTGGAAACCAACACAGGCGCTGCCCCTAAAAAGTATAGCGTAAATAAAATAATAGCCACCAGTGATAACACAGTTGTAAAATTAGATTTCACAGTGTCTCCAAGTGTAGCATTTAATTTCAGCACACGCACACATTAAAGAATAGCATTAGCTTTGAACCAGAACTGCCCTCCCTTCTCCGTGTGTGACTGCTCCCACAGGCTGATGCTGAAAATATCAATGTTTTCCTCTCTCCACTTGTTCAGTATTTTTTATATCCCATGAAAAAAAAAAACTAATCTTGCTTGATATTGACATTCTTGTGTAAAAGTGTTGCATCTTTAAACAACCCAGCATCAATTTGCAACATTAAGTCCCTCCGGCTAGAAAAATGCATAAAGTGCATGACATGTGTGCTGCATGAGAATGCTTCAGTCACAAGGAGAAGGTTGATGTCCTCCTCACATGGCCTCTAACGTGCACACACACAAGTGATTCTTCTCTGTTGCTGTGTGTCAATGAATAATGCACATATTAATCTTGCAAAGTATGGAAGTTTTACTAATTAATTCAGCATCTTCCTGCTCAAGGTTATCTAATTAAAGTGGCATCATTGTGGTCACTAGACATGGGTAGCATTCACAATTGCATACTTCTGACTTTTTACCCAAACTTCTATTAATTTATTATGATCTTTTAACATGACCTGACCATGCTGTCAAAATCTGAAGTGTCATCTTGACAGACAAGAGTCATGTGCAATGCTGAAGGTGGTCTTTATCTGTTTGCCCCTGCACAGCCTTGATAGAGGACATAAAACAACAGATTTTGGGCTTTAGTTAAAATATAGTTGGTTATAACTGATCAGTGTTTTTGATGATTTAACCTCCTTGCTGACTGTTGTTCTGCAGAACATCCTGGGATTTTTCTCGAGCAGCAGTGGCAGGAGACTCTACAGCTGTCTTTGAAGCTACAGCCCAGCTCTTGTTTAATTGTTCCACTCCTGAAGAAGACGGGAGCACATTCTGTAGAGCAGGTGGTCCTGCAGGGACTGAGGCAGGTTGCAGGTGGCGGGCCCCCTCGGGCCCTCCTTCCTCGTGCTCTTTAGCCTTTTGCAGCAACACACGGGCGGTCTCAGCGAAGACAGCTCGAGGGTCAACAAGTGGCAGGGCGGGACATGCACAACTTTCCCTCAACTCCAGGGCCTGAGGACACAAAATCAGACACACATACTGTGAACTTTAAATACAAACCAAATTCCAACAAAGTTGGGACGTTGTATAAACTGTTAATAAAAATTAAATTAAATGCAAGTCTCATAAACTCGTAGAATATTTACAATAGAGCGTAGTGAACATCTCAAATGTTTCAGCTAAAATATTGTACCTTTTTATTGGGGGGAAACAAAGAGGCTGTTTTGAATTTGATAGGAGCAGCACATGTCAAAAAGCGAGGACAAAACCACGTTTCATCTCTCAACCACTCCTCTTTTAACAATAGTGTGAAAACGTAGAGCAAATAAGAGAAATTTGAACAGAATGGTCCCATTCTTATCTGGTGTAGGAGCTGTTCAACAGTCCTGGGTAATCTTTGCTGGATTTTTGTTTTATTATGTTTTCAGTTAGTAAGAGGTCTGGACTGCAGGCAGGCCAGTTCAGCACCAGTACTATTCTACTCCAAAGCCATGGTGTAATGGATGCAGTGTGCAGTTTAACATTGTCTTGATGAAATGAGCTAGGCCTTCAGTGAAAAAGACATCTTCAGGATGAGAGTATGTTCTAAAATTTGTGTCAACTTTTTTTGCATCAATGGTGCCTTCCCAGATGTATAAGCTGCCCAAGCATTAGGCACTAATGCTCCCCCATACCATCAGAGAGGCAGATTTTTGAACTGTACACTGTTAACAGGTCAGGTGGTCCTATCCCTCTTTAGGAGATTATACTTCATTTCATCCATTATCTTTACTGCTTCTTCCTTTTCGGTGCACTGGTGCCCATATCCAGCAGTTACAATACGAGGGGCGGGGGACACCCTGGACAGGTCTCCAGTCAATCACTGGGACACATAGAGACAAAAAACCACTCACTTTCTCACTCACACTTAGAGACAATTTAGAGTTACCAATCAGCCTAACATGCATGTTTTTGGTCTGTGGGAGGAAGCTGGAGCACCTGGAGAAAACCCACGCAAGCACAGAGAGAACATGCAAACTCCACCCAGAGAAGCCCCCGGCCAGAATTCGATACGGTGACCTTTTGCTGAGAAGCAGCAGCTCTACCAACTGATCCACCGTGCCGCCCTATTTCATTTCAGAATAAAGTCATTAGGTTGTTTCAGTATAACTAAATGGGTTGAGTCAACAGGATTTTTTAGGCCTTACTCAACTTTGCTACAATTGTTTCTCTGTTTAACTGAACTCGTTTTAAATAACTTGATTTTTTTTAATCATTATTTATAGTCAATCATATCAATCTTCTTGTTTCAGCCAGATTTTTTTTGTTCACCATGTATGACACAAGGAATACAAAGTACTTGTTCATACAACATGATTCACGTTGGTCAATGTTCTAATACAATAATAATAATAATAAACACTTTTACCAGAAACTAACAAAACCTTTTTGCCACACAGCAATAAATTCTTAGGTTCAGAACTTGACTGGGGTCTTTCTGAGTAAAGTTTTCATGGTCTTCCTATGCATGTGCTGTTTCCTTCCACATCTCTGGTTATTGGTCCTGTGATGGACTGGCAGCTGACCTCTGGCCCGCTGACTGCTGGTGATGGTACCAGCTCCCCATGACCCTTGATAGGATTCAGCTGCTACAGAAAATGAATGAATGGATGTTACTTGTGTCAACCATTTATATCTATATGTTTATGACAGGACTACCTTTCTATGTGGTGCTAGGCTGATTGTTTAGACACGCCATCCGCGGGCTAGTATTGAATATCAATACCTCCTACTTATGACAAATGTAAAAGGCTTCCCATCATTTTTATTCACACAACTAAACTGTCTCTCAAAGCAAAACATCAAAGCCAACTTTCCCACCTGAGCAAAATAGTCTGATTAAACAACAAAGTCCATGCTCAATAATCCAGGTATACAATCCAACATTTTTCAGTCAGGTCATCTGGACAGTTTCTTCTTTTTGTGCTGAAACGTTTCACCTTCGGTCCAGAAGGCTTCATCAGTCAAGGAAACGCACAAGAAAACTGATTCTTCCCCCAACAGCTTACTCCAAAGTGGAACAAACCAGTTCTGCTTGTGATAAGATGGTCTCTTTGTCACGCCCCCTCCTTCATTGCCGGCCCTCTTCTTTGTTGACAGTCTTGTCTAACTGGTTGAAAACAATATATATAATCCAGTCTGATTAAACATTACCACTTTCATATCTACACATTTTCAAAATCTTTTTTTTCTTATTTTTTTAGTTTTATGTGAATGAGGTCAACGTTAGAAATAAAAATTGCTACTTTCTGTTATCGCTTAACACAACAGAAATTTAATTCTATCCTAAATTTTCAAAACGGATTTTAATTTTTTTTTTTAATCAGAGAACAATAATTTGATGTTCAACTACAACCGATTAGCTTTTGGAATCAACCCAGTTCAAGATATCTACCACAGCTTATCAACCTTAGCCAACACAAAACAAACTACAGCTCAGTCAGTTTGAAAGATATCGAGCTGAAGTTTGCTGTGATAGTAGCTGAGAATCATCACAGACACATACTGCGAGCGCTAACAGTTCACGTGACTTGTCACATAAAGTTATTTTCAAGGTTTGACCAAAATAGCTTTAACTCCTTTATTTCTCAACATAAGATAATCTTAGTTTAAAACTCTGGCTGAAAAAACGATGGACAATATGCAGCCCAGGGAATGCTAAACATTTAATTCTTAACATTGTGTTATATAGTGTTAGATAATTTTTTGAATATTTGTATTATATTATTGTTGAAAACTTCTTTCCCTCCTGCTTCTGTAAAACTTTACACAAAAGATTTTCCTGTCTCGGCCTGAAGGCCAGCTCACCGACTCGCAGTGCCTCACTGGTGTCGACACCGAGAACATTCTCGTATCTCTGGAGGACGACTTGCCGACGGCCGTGGATCATGTCTATGCATGTGACTGCAGATGGCCATGAGGGAACGCCCGCTGGACTCTGCAGCTGGACAGAAGTCTGCAGCAAACTCTATTCAACGCTCAGTCTGTGACGTTTCACGCATTATGTATCATGTATGTAATCTGTCTTGAATGAGTCCTTGCAAGTAAAACTTGGTTAAAAAAATCTTCTCCTGCCATCGAGCGTGGGTCCTTTTGAGTAAGTAAGATAAAAAAAGGATTATTTTTTCTCCAACATATAGCTTAATGTTTGTATCAAAATTTTAAGATGATGTTTCTTCCCCACCCTCTTACTTCAGGTCTGTTAGAAAGAGCAACAACATCACAAAACTCAGAATAAAACAGAAAGTGTTGCTGTATGAGAAAGCGCTTCTGCATTGTTTTATTTACAAAATTGTGCATGCATCCTACATGCTGCTGCTATGACATACATGTCTGGCAAAAACTGTCACTTGTTTGGCAAAAAAAATATACATGATCCAACCTCTTTACGTGTTAAAAAAGAGCCAAAGGGCACTAACCGCAATCACTTCACAGCATTTAAAACACAACCCCTCCCATCTCTCTTCCATAACTGCATACATACATGCACTTGACTCGCCACTCAACAGCCTCTCCCTCTACCAGTGGACTTAATTTGCTTTGCTTAAGGATGATGAGTCCACTCGTGGAGGTGGAGTGCCCCCAGAAGAGTAGGGTTAAGTAGCTTGAGGATGTCACCCCTTCTTTGCGAGGTCAAAAACATCACATTATGCATCACTTTCACCTGACTGAGCTCAGCTGTTAGCTGCTTGATCTGTGCAGCTGGGCTGGATCAAACAGTTTGCTGTGAAGAGGGTGTGCACACGCACAAACACACAATGCAAGCCATTAATATTCGACCAAACAATCTTCGTCACTTCACTGCCTGTGGCTACAGTCTGGCCTTGATAACAACTGCTGCTCGAGGTCAGAGTGCCACACTGGGAACTAAGTGATGCACAAGTACCTACACACCACATGCACACTCAGTGATTGAGCCACCTGATGGACAATTAGTGTTTACCCATCTGTTAGGCTGTTGTGCTTGGAGCATCTAAATGTGCAATAATTTTCCAACAGTGGCACTCACTGCAAATTAAAATTTTGAAAATTTGTCAGACGGAACCTCACATACATATCCAACAATTTTCAGTCAGGTCAACTGGACAGTTTCTTTTTTTGCTGCAAAAAAACAAACTATCCAGATGACCTGACTGAAAATTGTTGGATTGTATACCTGGATTATTGAGCATGGACTATTTTGGTTTTGAACCAGTTTGACATGACTGTCGACGAGGAAGCAGGCCGGCACAAGAGGAGGGGGCGTGCCAAAGACACCATCTTAGCACCAACATAACTGGTTTGTTCCACTTTGGAGTAAGCTGTTTGGGGGAAGAATCAGTTTTGTGTTGTGTGTTTCCTTGACTGATGAAGCCTTCTGGATAGAAGGTGAAACGTTTCAGCAAAAAAAGAAACTGGCCAGATGACCTGACTGAAAATTGTTCGATTGTATACCTGGATTATTGAGCATGGACATTTTTGCTCACATACATATATGACCCCAGATCTAAAATGACTGGGATGTTGAGTAATATGTAAACGATTTACATATCTCATAAACCTATTTTTTATTCACACTGGAACATAGTGAACATATCAAATGTTTAAATATTGTACAATATCTTTTCCTGCTTACTCTCGACAAAGGCAGACGCTTACCCTCCCGCTCCTGCTTCCCTCCTGCTTTGCTCTTTGTCCTGTGAACCCTATCAGAGCATCTCTTTACATACACTGCATTGCCAAAAGTATTTGCTCTCCCATCCAAATTATCGGAATCACGTGTTCCAATCACTTCCATGGCCTCAGGTGTATAAAATGAAGCACCTAGGCATGCAGACTGCTTTTACAAACATTTGTGAAAGAATGGGTCGCTCTCGGGAGCTCAGTGATTTCCAACGTGGAACTGGACCTCTGCAACAAATCCAGTCATGAAATTTCCTCACTCCTAAATATTCCACAGTCATCTGTCAGCTGTATTATAAGAAAATGGAAGTGTTTGGGAATGACAGCAACTCAGCCATGAAGAGGTAGGTCATGTAAACTGACGGAGCGAGGTCAGTGGATGCTGAAGAGCAAAGTGCGAAGAGGTCGGCAACTTTCTGCAGAGTCAATCACTACAGACCTCCAAACTTCATGTGGCCTTCAGATTAGCTCAGGAACAGTGCGCAGGGAGCTTCATGGAATGGGTTTCCATGGTCGAGCAGCTGCATCCAAGCCATACATCACCAAGTGCAATGCAAAGCGTTGGATGCAGTGGTGTAAAGCACGCCACCACTGGACTGTAGAGCAGTGGAGGAGCGTTCTCTGGAGTGACGAATCACGCTTCTCCATCTGGCAATCTGATGGATGAGTCTGGGTTTGGTGGTTGCCAGGAGAACGGTACTTGTCTGACTGCATTGTGTCAAGTGTCAAGTGTGGTGGAGGGGGATTAAGGTGTGGGGTTGTTTTTCAGGAGCTGGACTTGGCCCCTTAGTTCCAGTGAAAGGAACTGACTGCTTCAGTATTCCAAGACATTTTGGACAATTCCATGCTCCCAACTTTGTGGGAACAGTTTGGAGCTGGCCCCTTCCTCTTACAACAAGATTGTGCACCAGTGCACAAAGCAAGGTCCATAAAGACATGGATGGCAGAGTCTGGTGTGGTTGAACTTGACTGGCCTGCACAGAGTCCTGACTTCAACCCGATAGAACACCTTTGGGATGAATTAGAGTGGAGACTGAGAGCCAGGCCTTCTCGTCCAACATCAGTATGTGACCTCACAAATGTGCTTCTGGAAGAATGGTCAAAAATCCCCATAAACACACTCCTGAACCTTGTGGACAGCCTTCCCAGAAGAGTTGAAGCTGTTCTAGCTGCAAAGGGTGGACCAACGTCATATTGAACCCTATGGATTAGGAATGGGATGTCACTTAAGCTCGTATGTGAGTCAAGGCAGGTGAGCGAATACTTTTGGCAATGTAGTATATCTTCCGAATTGTAAATTATGGATATGGTCAGCTGATCTCTCAACACAGTTGATAACATTTTCTCAACAAGAAGACAGGGCAAAGGAGAGCCCTCTTGCCCTGACGGGACACTTGCAGCTGGATACACAATGGATTCCTGGAGGCAGTGGAAGATGGTGCGTCTGTCCATATTGTCCATTGAGGATGTAGATGTACATAATTGGATTTATGATAACAGGATTTCTGTTTTTTGGTGTTGGTGGTTACCTGGCATATCGACAAATACGGAAAACGTTGGCAGCTGTTCTGGCCATTGTTAAGCTGCCTGGCATGTGTGAAGGAATCTGCCGAGCGATAAGTACTCAGACTCAGATGCTGTGTGAGCTGAGTTGTAAGCTGGACGCAATTTCTGAGAATCACAGGCCACTTGCGGCTCCTGAAACTCACTGGCGAGAAGGAATCGAACTTGGAGAAGCTACAAGCTTGGCCCGGTGGTGCTGACCACAAAAATGTGTCTATTTGGAATAGCCATTGAGACGTACCATTAGAAGTATAAGGCAGACAGAAATCAAGTAGAGTCGGCCTGACCCAAAACAATTATTGTTATCTGAATCTTGCTCCCCCGTGTCGGTCTTGGATTGGCCAACTATCTCAAACTCTCCTGGATGTTACATTATGTGAACAAGAAGCTCTGCAACCCTCCCCTACCTGCTCCCTTCCCCAGGACATCTGTGGACCTGTATCAGAGCCGGCTGATAGACACTGCACCATCTTTTATCAGGACTATGGAACTACCTGGCAGTGTCCACAGACAAACTCACCACCTTCGTCGGCCTTCCTCATGCATAATTGTATCATGATATCATCAGTTGCTGTTTCTGTGCTGAGGTTATTTTTCTGCAACTTTCTCAGTGGCCTGTCTAGGACACAGTGAAAGATATGATTTTTTATACCCCTCCTTCCCCTGTGTTTCTTTTTTCCTGTCTAAACTAAAAAGGCAGTGCCTCCCATGGGCCGTGGACTAAGACACCTCCATCCCCCCCCCCCCCCCCCCCCCATGTCTGCTTGTTTATGTTTTACTCGGACGGGCTGTACTGAAATGTAATTTTGTTGTGCTTCAGTGCAATGACAATAAAGCTGAATCTGATTTAGGAGAAAATAAAGTAATTTTCAAATTTAATGGCAGCAATGAAGAGCAAAATAGTTGGGGCAGGGGCAAAAACAGGCTGTGAAAATGTGTTGTACGAAAAAGAAACATCCGGAGGAGCAATTAGCAACTAATTAGTTTGATGATCAGTAAGAAGATTGGCTTTAAAGAACCTATTAGACAAGATGAATTTCTCAGAAGTAAACATGGTCAGAGGTACGTCTGCAAAAAAACTGTGCCTAAAATAATAAAGTCCATGCTCAATAATCCAGGTATACAATCCAACATTGTTCAGTCAGGTCATCTGGACAGTTCTTTTTTTTTTTTGTGATGAAACGTTTCGCCTTCGGTCCGGAAGGCTTCATCAAAAAAACAAACAAAAAAAGAACTGTCCAGATGGCCTGACTGAAAAATGTTGGATTGTATACCTGGATTATTGAGCATGGACTTTGTTGTTTTCAACCAGTTTGACAAGACTGTCAACAAGGAAGAGGGCCGGCAATGAAGGAGGGGGCGTACCAAAGAGACCATCTTATCTCAAGCAGAACTGGTTTGTTCCACTTTGCAGTAAGCTGTTGGGAGAAGAATCAGTTTTGTTGTGTGTTTCCTTGACTGATGAAACCTTCTGGACCTAGGGCGAAACGTTTCAGCACAAAAAAAAACTGTCCAGATGACATGACTGAAAAATGTTGGTGTGCCTAAAATAGTGAAACAATTTCAGAATAATGTTCCTCAAGGCATATTTGAAAATAAGAAATCTTCTTTTATCTACAGTTCACAATAGCGTCAAGCAATTTTAAGATCCTGGAGAAATCTCTGGACTCAAAAGACAAGACTGACTACTGCATTAAAAACAGGTCTGATTATCTTATGGACATGAGCTCAGGAACACTTTCCCAAATCACTGTCTGTAAACACAGTAGTTGTGCCATCCATAAATACTGGTTAATGCTTTACCATGCATAAAGCCATATAGGAACTCCATCTAGAAAGACAGCCGTCATCTCAGGACCAAAGCTCGTTTAAAACAAACCAAGTCCAAATGGAAAACTGCTCTGTGCTCAGACAAATCTAAATGTTAAATTATTTTTGAAAACCCCAGACACCATGTCGTCTGTAACAAAGAGGAGAGGGCCTATCAGTTAACAGCAAATTAGTTCAAAAGCCTGCTTCTCTGATGGTATAGGGGTGCATTAGTGCCACTGGCATGGCCAGCTTACACATTTGGGAAGGTACCATCCATGAGAAGTATGCACCACTTTCAGAACACATGAGCCCATCCAGGCAATGTTTTTTTTTTCTTTTTCAACAACAGCCTCACATATTTCATGAAGACAACGCTGGATCGCACACTGAACGTATTATAACAGCATGGTGTCCTAGCAGAAAAGTCCATGGGCTGAACTGGCCTCACTGAGAACATCATACATGAAGAAACAAAAAATCCAGCAAAGACCACGAAGGACTGATGAACAGCTAAAATTCTACATCAGACAAGAATGGGACAGTGTTCCCCTCCATTGACTCCAGCAACTAGTCTCCTCTGTTCCCAGATGTTTACAGACTGTTGTTAAAAGGCTTGTGCTGTCTACGTCTAAACTTTTTCAGAACTGAGGCTATAAGTGTAAGATATATAGAAGCTGGCTTTGTCTTTATTACTGTTTTTATTTTTCCATTTCTTTGTTTCATTTTTTAGCCAAACCTAACATCTTAATTGCCTCTTGATATTCTTGTAGCCTTGAGATATCATAGATTGGTTGCCTTAGTGCCAGCTGCCTGCTTGGTCCTGTGAGACTGAGCTGCTAATGATAAGGCTAGGATAGGCGGTTTTATTTTAGCTTCTAGTCTCAAATCCCACGGGATGTTTACTTTAGCTGGCATGCAAGGACCTGGCGCAGGAAAAGGTTTTTCCTGTCTTGCTAAAACCATGCATCTTTCCTTTTGTCCCTCATGTCTTTCCTTCCTCTCCGCTCCTCTCTCCGTGTCTGCAGGTGGATTAAAACTCTCCAGACACTTCATTAGTTCCATAAGACTCCTTCCAACAGGTCCTAAAGCTACAAGCTTTCTCTAAAACAACAGATATGAGGATGACATTTTTGGTCTTCAGACTCTAATTGTGGTTTGAGAAACACGTGACTAAGGACAGTTTACTTCTTGGTGGAGACTCAATGAAAGACTGATCATTGTGTGTGTGTGTACCTGTGGAACGAGACGGTCCATCTGACTGGATCTGTTTCTGTGTGTTGGGTGTGTGGACAGCCACTCAGGTAAAGTGGGTTCTCCTGTAAGCCGGTCTGCGAGTTCCATCTGCTGCCAGAACACGGGGCCTGCTCGCACATCTGCACAGGCCTGGAAAAGACACGCACACTCGTCATGGATTTACAAACACACATTCCATGGCATCCTGATGGCTAATGAAAAAAGTAGTTTAATTTAGTTGGACAACAGTGCCCTCTCGTGGCCTGCTGACTGTTTACAAGGCGAGATAATTTTATCATCTGAAAATAATCAGAACTTTTTAAACATGAAAAATATTTACGTGTATCATTTGATCCAGAAAATTCAGAACTTAACCAACACAATATCATGTTTCATTCATACGAGTTTCTGATTAAAAATTCTTTATTAAAATAAAGAAAATGCAGCTGCACAACTCAAAGCAGATCTATTTCTTTTGGACCGTCGTAGTTTATTAGATTTGCGTTGATACAATGTGTAAAAAAACTCAGTGTCTCTTTATTTATTTATTTATTTTTATTTTTATAGGTTTAAATAACCAACCTTAGTAATAAAGTCAGACTTTCTTAAAAGAAGTTCACACAACAACTTTTTAAGAGTAGGTCAGGTGAAGAGCTTTATCTACATGTGGATCAGGTGTAGTTTCTGTATGTTTGATACTTTAAATAAAAATAAAGAAAAGGTGTTTTTAAAAGGCAAAGGAGGTAATTACTACAGACTTTAACTATTAGTATTTTGTGTCTGTTTAGCTTTGAAAGCATTGAATTCTACATTTCACAAAATGGGAATCAACAGTGTATTTTATTAAACGTTAGTTTCTTTCAAATCTGACACACAATTTTCAATTTTGTGTTTTCTTTTAAAACTTTTAAGACCAAAGTCCAAGTTTAAACAAGCCTAGTCCTGCTGAGAAGGTTATAGTAACACAGACAAATACATATGGGTGATGAGAAATCTGTGATTGTGATACCTTGGCAGCTAACTGCAGTCCCACTTGATCTGCCTCAGCTTCCAGTTTCCGACTGTAGGGATGACTGAACAGCAGCTGGAAAACAGAAAGAGATGTTTATGTGGGTAAAAACTTCAAGATTCCCGCACACCTTCTCACATTATAGTTTTAAACTCTTCTAAGTAAAACTTATTTCATTTGTATCAAACCTTTTATGAATGTTATACCACATAGCTCTAAATATCCAATAACCAGTTAGAACTCACCTCTGTGAGCTTGTCCTTTGCCCATCCTCCTAGTAAAGCCATGCTGTCTCCAGGACACAAGGCCCAGATGGCTGTGACCAAAATGAGAGACAGGAGGTCCACTACATGAGACAGGCTGGCCTGTTCTGCCTAAAGAGATGGGAAGAGTGGCAATGGAAGACAGAAATGAAGGAAGGCAAAGAAGTGAGCTATAAATTAAATAGAACAAGTAAAAAATAGAACTACAAAAGTTTGGATGTTATTGGGAGGAAAGCGAGGCAGCTGGAGCACATCTAGTGTTCTCATCTATTTTCTGAAGCCTTGTGCAGATTCAGAGATTTAAACAGACAATTCAGAACAGCAAACTTACTGTGTACCGAGCTCGTCACTGCTTATTCCCGTCATCTAATTAAACTCAGGACTTTTTCCTGACAAATAAATAAATAAAAACACACCTCAGATCAATTTTTCTAGCATCTATTGATTCATTAGTTTCTCCCTTGCTGCTGTTTGTTGAAACATTAATTGTTCTGATATGTTTTTTTGCATTTAGTGTTTCATGCATTAGAAAAGCGCATGTGACGCCATGACGGTGTCGGGAGAACTTTCAGCCCCACGTCACCAGAGTGCAGACTCAACAACAAGGCAGCACCCACTACTACAGCTTCACTTTGTAAAGAATTAATAACAACTTTTTTTGTACACAACACCTACAACAGAACTAAACATGAGTGTGCCATCCATCTTTATTTAAAGTCTTTGTCAACAGCTTCATCAGGTCACTACAGTAGCCCAGAGAGGACTAATCAAATGCTGGCTTTAGACTGTGCCCTTTCTAATTTAGTTTGTTCTAACTGCTAGTTATCTCATTTAAAATTTGTTTAGCCAGATGTCACGACAGACCCCACTCTGAATTTTTAAACTGAAACATTGTTTTCAACTTACTGAATGATAAACTGTGCACTTATTAAGCCTCTTTGTAGCTTCTTCAGGTTTTGCAAAGCAGCTTACAGTTTCTCATTCATCCATTCGCACACACTCATCCAGTGCTTTCAATTATTTGTTTTACACGTCAGCTCTTTTTTTTTTATTCTCACTCATACACCAATAAGCATACTGGAGGAAATGGGTGTCAGTGTCTTGCCCAAGGACACTTGGGCATGCTGTAGGGCAGGGGTCTGCAACCTTTATGATCAAAAGAGCCATTTTTAAGCTTTTGTTCATTAAATTAAAAAAAAAAGTCCAGAGCTGCAACAACAAGCTACAACTGTAATTATCAACTGGTGCTTCATGGGCCACTTTAGGTTTGTTGGAGGAGACTTTTGTGGCCAGTAAGGTGACAATATAAAGCTAAAAATATCTAATGATTTTTAACATTTTTTGATATTTTTTACAATTTACGACAAATGAAAAGACTACATTCTTGTAAAGAAGGGGAAACGTTAAAAAAAAAAAAAAAAATAATCAATCACCTTTATCAATCAATCACCTTTATTTTACCAGGTAGAGCCCGTTGAGATCGAGATCTCTTTCACAAGGGTGACCTGGTCCAGTGGTCATCAGCACACGTCACAGGGTAATTGACAATAAGCATTTGCATTTATCAAAAGAAAAAAAGAAACTACTATCACGATAAATAAATGTTAACAGTTTGAAACCATCAGGATAAGACAGACTTCTGTAGACATTAAATGTAGAACAGACATCAGTTTAAGTAGACAGAGTTAAAAGTCAACAAAGACATGTATACTTGATAAGTAGTGTTTTAGAAACATCTGCAATGGTCCAGATTTTTGATAACATTATCTGATACGGTTGACATGAAGGATCTAGGCGAGATGAGTGTTGATAGTTTCAAATCTGTCTGTAAGTTGTTCCAGGCTGAGGGGACGGCGAAGCTGTCCATAAAACTGTTCATAAAACTATGAACTGCAGACTACTGTCATTTTTTTAATTGTGGAAAAATAATTAAGTATAGAAATAAACAAAAAGTTAACATGAGTATTTGCAAAAGGAATGAAAACAGGTAAAACTAGTATTTTTTGTTGTTTGTATAACCAATAAAACTCAGTTTTATGTTAGTTTTGGTCAAAGCTTGAAAGAGCCGCTGCAGAGGGACCAAAGAGTTGCTCCAGAGCCATGGGTTGCAGACCCCTGATGTAGGGGATCAAACCAGAGGCCCTCCAAATAGAAGACAACCTACCACTGGGCCAAAGCGACAACTTATAGCTTTCTTTTGTAAAAATAATAGCAGAGTTGTGTACAGGAAAACTAACAGTAAATACTGTTACTGTACTGTTAGGGAGGACAACAAAATGTTGCCAAGTTTACAGCAAAACATTAGAGAAATGACTTGCGACTCCAAATGTTGGGCCAAGTTCATAAATAAATACCTTTTTTTTTCTGACTATAAGGCACAATATCAATGAACGGGTCTGTTTTCATACATAAGGCGCACCAGATTATAAGCGAAACAACACAGATAAGCCAAACTTTATTTAATTCATTCATAATAATCACATAAAACTGCTTCGAGGTCAGTAAGCACAATCAGAATTAATACATAAGGCGCACCAGATTATAAGGCTCGCTGTCGATTTTTGAGAAAAAGGATTTTAAGTGCACCTTATAGTCTGAAAAATACGGTAATGATTCATCTTACTAGGATTAAGCATAAGCTGCAGAGGGATCTGTACTTACAGAGTGTTCCAGTATGGCATGTGCCATTTCATGTCCAAGGACAATCATAAGCTGGTCAACATCTTCTATAGACGCCAACATCCCTGTAAACATGAACACTTTCCCATTCTGCACAAAGAAAAAGGAAATGTCTGAGTCATATGTTGCTTAGAAATACTGGAATAAAAGAAAAATGGGAGGAAGAAAGTCCTTTTATTTGTGTTTTACTCACTGGCAGGACAAAAGCATTGATTTGGGGACTTTCCACCACATGGACACTCCAGGGGACTCGAGACACTTCAACGATGTCCTTGTTCTTTTGTACCAGGAGCTCAACCGATCGCTCCACCAACTGGTGAAGATGGTGAGTAACTGGGAGAAGATGCTCTGCAAACTCCTCCATGTGCTAAGATACAGACAGTGAAAAATATGAGAAAAAGACTTTCATTCACCAAGTTCATCCTATGAATTCTGTAATTATGAAAAAAATAAAAATAAAATTGTAATCACAACGTGAACAAAAACACAATCTTTAGCATTTGTTTTATTTTCTCACTGCCTCTGACGTCAGAGCTGCCAGCTCCAAGTACTTCTCCCTGCTGAACACCAGCAGTCGGACTCGTCCCGTCACTGGAGACTCTTCTAGGTGGGTTAGGAGGAGAAGGGCTACAATTAGCAAAGTAACAACTCCCCCTGCCGCAAGATGCCAGCGGTGCCCCAGGGCCCATTCGCGCAGCAGCAGTCGGCGGCTGTGTGGTAGAGACGCCCACCATTTCCTTATGCTCCTGCACACAAACAATTGATTATTTATCACGTATTAGAAACATGTTAGTTCGAGCATGTTGCTCATCTGACCTTTTCAAAGAATCCAAAACACCATTACAGTATACTGGTGATCATAATGGCTGCTAGTTTACTTTGCCCTGATTTATTAGACTGGAGATTAGGAAGTGATTATTATTCAATCTGGACTCAAGGGCTAAGTAAAAAAAAGGGGGATTATTTTGCAGTCGTATTCTCTCAAACTAGTTCTTTGCTGTTAAACCTTAGCCTGCTCCAATTTTAGAGGTGTCACATGTAACTTCAGTGTCTGGTGCAGTGTGGTGTGGAACCAGTGAGACAGTGGCAAAGCGCCAACAGAGAGGAGCCACCAAAGCTTCTTTCTCCTCAGATGCAGCCTCCTGCAGAGTCTTGAACTCGTGTACCGTCCACTAACTGCCGAAAAACAATTTTACACACATTTCTTCAAATAGAAATATGTGTAAATCATTTTACAGCAATGTGTCACACACAACATGATCACCTTTCTTTGTGAGATCACAAAGTGTATAATAAATCAACAAACTTAACCTTGTTTTTATTAAACAGAATAATAATTTATGCAGCTTAATGTTCGCAAAATAAAGACTTGACATGATCATGAGTAGACATTAAACAAATTTTCCTGCATAATTACCACCTGAACACAATGTGTCAACTCTTATATTAGATATTTAACTGGTATTGTTAGTTCCTTCTGTTAAACTACAATTTATTATTAGTAAAATTAAAAGTACTCATTGCAAACTATAAAAATCAAACATAAAAAAGGTTATCCTGAACGACCTCAACAGGTACAATTTGAAAGTTTACTTCCTTGGTTTTCCAGATATATTGTGCAATTCTGAAACGTAGGTCCACTCAGTGTAAACAAAGCTCATGCCTGAATCCACTGGAAGCTTACTAGCATAATTTACTCTATGAATCTGAGTGTAAATATGTATTAATACATCAAAATTGCCAAATTTCTCTATCCAAAATGGCTCTTCCATGAATGTCATCTTTGTTGATGTATTTAGGTCATTTCGGGTAAAAATAAAAATAAACACATGGAAGCTGGCAGCTGTTCAGTCTTTGCTTACAAGTGTTTAAGGACATATTAATGTGTGAATGTTGTTTCTGACATTATATTTCTACTTGTCTTCAGGATGTTGTAACGAGTACCTTTAAAGGACGTGTCAAAAGCAACAATCGACATGCACCGAAAACATTTTTATTGTTATATAAAATTGTGTGTGTGTTAATATTTGTGTGCATGTAAAAATACACGTCTGTTTCCTACCTGCCTAGAAGTATAGCAATCAGTTTCTGTAGGGGTTTGAGGACCATCCATATGAGGGCGGCAGGCAGAGCTCTTTTAGGGGCCGAGGTGTGGAAATAGCGCCCCCCTTGGGTCGGGGCAGGACCTGTCAGGACACACATGGTCCGTGTGTTGCCACATAAAACAAAACTTGTATTTGAATAGACTCTCCATTGGGCTGAGGATCTTTGAAAGTTGACGGGAGAATGTACCAGACGAGTTTTCTTCACGGGACTGAAGATTTGTTTACAGAGACTAAAGTTTCGAGTCCGATATATGTGGAGAGAAGAGTTTCTTAAAATGTTTCCACAAAATAAAGTCAGCATTGTTATATCATGTAAGTGGGCTGGTTATACAGTGCAAGACAGGAAATGTCCGTTTTAAAGAAACAATAGGATAATATCATTTTTCACGTTTTCTGGTGTCTGCTGCTTCATTTTGAATACTTCCGGTTTCTGTCAAAGTCAGTAGTCCGTAACCTTGGTTACCACGGTCCGCGGCGGTGACTCTTTGTTCCGGTCCAGATTAGAACACCATCACATACAAAAATAAACCATCGTGTTCTGTTGTTTTATCGCGACGCCATTCACCCCAACTTCCAAATGACGAGCTTTCACACCTAAAGAACAAAATGTTATACGAGAACTATGACGTAACGTTGCTGCCCCCAAATGATTCCCCGCAGAAACACATGAAAGGTTTTACGTTCCCCTTTACACAAATAACGTTTCATCACAGACGGAGGGCAAAATTTAAATAAAATATAATTATAATCGCCTTCAAAACAAGATTTGACCATAATGTTGGGTGTGAAAAACTTCAACGAACAGACACAAACAGTAGCAAAGGATAATATATTTAATATCTATATATATATATATATAAACACGTTTCAGATTAGGTGTGGCTAAATCTCTGTCTCCGTTTTGTTTTAATATGTTCAGCTGACCCAAGACACCTTATAGTTTATCCATCCATCATCTTTACCTGCTCCTTTCTTTCAGGGACGCAGCAGGCACTGTGCGAGAGGCAGGGTACACATTAAAGAGGCTGCAGGTCCATCACAGGGAAATAGAGACAAACAAGACAATCAATCATTCACTCTCTCACACCTAGGGATTATTTAGTTATCAATAACCCAACATGCATGTTTTTGGTCTGTGGGAGGAAACCACTGAGCGGCAACATCTCTACCAACTGCACCACCAAACTTTTTTGTTTATAAACTAAAAAACAAATAAATTAAAATCCACGTGAATGTATCCTGCTATTATGCAAACAAGTATTTCCTCAATGTACTTTTTTCTTTGCATAAAAACTAAACAGTTTCCTTAATTTAAATGACCATTGCAGCACTTTGTGAATTCATGACACTAAATACATAAAAACTTTCATATGAAAACGTAATTTTAATTTTGTGTAAAAAAACAAAAACAGGAACATAACATTCACACATATTTTTTCTCTTAACATACAGTATTTGATTTAGTATAATTGTAAAACTCAACTGACATAAAATAATTGTTTATATATAGGCTTTTTGTTTTTGGCCCAGCGTTCTGCTCCAAAGCTGTCAGAACCCATAAATATATTGCATTGCAATTTTTTCCCTAGACACAAAGTAAGTCCTCAGATTAAGTGAAAGAAGACCTCTGTTATGCAAACTCACAAGTTTGCTGGTTGAATGAGCTGAACTAAAGTTTTAACATGTCCTATAATTTAAAACTAAATGTGTGGGTTAATAATACTGATACAAAACCTCACTGTATTTTCAAAACTCTTATAACTTTGTGGTCTAGAACAAGTTTAGTTACCAGATAGTTCTTCACAGTAAATAGTCGTGCTCCGTTGACAACACTGACCCTAAATGCAACACTGAGCTGCTGTCAGTCTCAGGAACGCCCCCTCCTTTCTGGTGTCCATCCTGGCAGATCAGCTGACCATGAGCAGAGTCATCTAAATCCACTGACTTGGATGAAATTGTTTTTTCTTCTTCTGTATCTGAGAACTGCTGCTTGGAAATAAAGTCGGACCAGAAAAGAGACTGGATCTGAGTGAGGAACAACTCTCCCTCCCCATCTGGAAGCGGCTCCAAGTAACTTGCCAGAGACACCAGCATCTGCAGAGATTCAAGTGAACTGAAGGTAAAACCCCACAAAGACAGACACTGAAACGTCTAAACTGAAGTCACTGACCTTCTCCAGGCAGGTGAGACTGGAGTCTCTCCGAAATAATCTGTCCATGTGCACACTCCTGTCCAACCGCAACAAGAAAGAGAAAAACAAAACTGTTTACAGACATGCAAACAATCATCTGTTAGGAATATTTCTTATCACCCACCCGAGAGCTTGAGCATATTTCTGTACAATCCACTGAGCCCTCCTCATGGTTTGATCCCAGTCGGGGATGTCATGTGACGTCAGGAAGTTAAATCTGTAAGGCAGCTCTGTGGAGGAACACAGCCGAAGGATAAAGGCTGTAAATGTTTATACAAATCACCAACCTACACGGTCAACTTCAATTTTAAAGCCTCTTGATCTAAACTGATTTAAAGTAGAGATGTTCCGATCGATCGGCCACCGATCATGATTGGTCGATACTGATCAATGCCTTTCGGTGCCAATCACAAAAACCGATCACCTTTGCAGCCTGCAGGGGTCTTGTGGTAAATCTGTTTTGAGATTTATTTGACTCTTCACTATTTAGCCTGTTGAGAGTCTCAATGTTTTCAATCTGTTAAAGATTCTGTAGCTGACAGCAGGCAAATGTTTTTCAGTTCTTTAGACTGAACAGTGGCTGTAGTGTGCCTGCACGTTTTTTATATTTTTTGTCCAAATTAAGGTGATTTTATGGTTCTTTTTTTCCCGATCACGTAGCACTCATCTTAACTAAATCAAAAAATTTACAGCCAATCCATGTGAGTGGTATCGGCAGGGCTTAATTTGTAAACTGATCAATGCTGAAACGCAAATAGTGGGCGGGGTGTCTGTGGATCCTCTTCCAGAAAATTTTGAATAAAGGAGATGCCACTTCCTGCATTTTGGTGAATACAGCACCTCAGACTGAGGAAGTCTTTCGGAAGAAAGACTAAACGTATCTACATTTTTTTGCTTTGTTTTGTTTTTTTTTTTTTTTTAATGTCCATTGGACCAGATTGAACTTTTTTAAATTCATATACCTGGATTATTGAGCATTTATCAGGATATCAAACATTTATTTTTTTGTATTTTTAATAAATAATAAATCTTTTATTAATGATCCACTTAAACTGTCAAACTGATTTGCAATTTAGTTGAGCAGTTAATTTATATTTTTGAGTTTTTTTTTTTTTTAAATAAAAACGTGTGATGACTTTGGACTTTTAACGGCGGAGATTTGAGTTACCGGATCCAAACAAAGAGTTGCCAGAACGCACCCTGTCTAAATGAGAGAGTTCCCGGATCTTGTTCCAGGATCCGGCTCAAATTAAGCTCTGTGTATCGGTGATCGGCAGCAAAAAACCTGATCGGAGCATCCTTAGTTTAAAGTCTTTAGCATTTGTGTGTGTGTTTGACATACTGTTGGGACTTGAGGGCTCCGGGCTCTCTTTAACCAACAAGCAGGTAATTTGTGAGTATGGGGAGGGGTTGGCTGGGTCATATGGGCTCACTATCATCCCAATAAATGGAGCTCCACCTCGAGAGAAATAACTCTGGATGAGTCAGGACAAAGAGGGTCAGACAACGTTCACATGTAGCAAATCCTGAGTGAGTTCTTTCATTTATTTCACCTGAAACTGGTCCTGCGTGTTTATGTCTCGCACTGACGGGTTTGGGTGAAAGGAGGGGTGGGAGTGGTACCAGCCCACCACATTGAGGCCCAGGGACACTAGCACGTCACAGGCTTGTGTCTGAGACACTGGGTCCATCTCACACTGCATACCTGTGCTCACACTGTTGCACGGCTCTGCTGCACAGACCTACACACATTTTAGACATTTTTTAAATCAAAGCTGATTTCCTTCCTCATTAAAACTGATCGCTCTCAGTTCTTCTTTTACCTTCAGTACTTTTGCTTCTTCACTGAATGTTCCACCTAGCAGACCAATGACTTCCCCTCGTGATACGTGGGCATGCTGGATGCAAAATCGCAGCACATTCAACAAGTTTAAGATCATATTCAGCATGAAAGCACTGTGGAAATACACTCTGAATGAGGTTGTGTGTAGAACGTACCATATCCATGATGAGAAGAGTCTCTGCACACACAACAACCTGGAATGGCTCCTGAGAATAAACAGCAAAAACAAACAGGACTGTAAGGTTTAAACAGTCCTGCAATAATCAACACGTTTTCACATAAAACTAAACATGATTAAATAAATACATTATAAACCTCAAAAAGAAGACATTTTCTGGCCCTAACGTTGCTGCTAACAAGACCACGATGCTAACAGAACCACTCTGCTAACAAGACCATGATGCTAACAGAACCACTCTGCTAACAAGACCATGATGCTAACAGAA